CTATCACACAACTATGTATTTCTTAGTGCTTTTAATTCTTTTGTAATATCTAAATGTCAAAAAATGAATATGTACATACAGAATTCAAAACAACTTCCTAAATGGTTATTGGCCAGTCATTGACATCTTTATTTTGAAAGTCTGAATTGTAAAATAGTTCTAAAGTGCATTCCTGCAACTAATAAATAGCAGCATTTGTTTATAAAACCTTAAGAAATTCAGACCAGGGCTGGCACAAAGTCACAATAAAAAATAAGGCACGATCTAGATATATACTTCCTTAATCATCTAAGACAAACACTTGTGTGAATGTTTATTAAGTATACATGAAATATAAAAAGCATTATAAAAAAATTCATACAGCAATGAAAAAAGGAGTCTTCCTCTGCTATTAATATTAAATATGGCAAAAAATATACTATACAAGGTTTATTGAATACTAGTTGTCTTTGGAACCACAGGGAAAGCTTTGATCTAGGTCAGTGTATGATACAGCTGAGGGCTGTGATGGTCCACAAAGCTGAAGCTCTACAAGATGACTTGGAAGACTGCTGCTGACGTGGCTTTGGAGAAATCATCCACACAAATGAAAATGTTCTTTCAGTACTGGGACTGTCAGTTCATGGCTTCTTGCGCCTGAAACATAACAACCAGCACTTAAGAGTTGAACTTTGCAATTTGTTAACACATTCACAGCAAATCAGTCTTTAGGAGGGCTTTGAGAACTGCTGTTTTATCATGAGAAAATTCAAGTCCCTCTGAGAAGGCAAACAACTTTTATAAAATATGCTTATCTTAGTATTAAATTTAGGAAACAGGACTTCCCATCATTATCCTGTTGCAACAATTTTGCTCACTAAGGAATGTAAATGTTTAAAATGGTGTGTGTGTGTGTGTGTGTGTGTGTGTGTGTGTGTGTAAAGAAGGGGTTTTATTAAACTATGGAAAAAGACTGGGTCAGACTCCTCTGAGTATGAGTTCAATAGAAGAGGAAAAGGTTTGATTGGTGTGTGTGTTTGATTGGTGTGTGTGTGTGTGTGTGTGTGTAAAGAAGGGGTTTTATTAAACTATGGAAAAAGACTGGGTCAGACTCCTGAGTATGAGTTCAATAGAAGAGGAAAGGGTTTGATTCCTTCCCTACCATAAATTCTTCCATTTGGGTTTATTTATTTTAGTGAACACCTACTGCTATACCAAGACGAAGAAGCAAGTCAATAAAGAATGATTTACACAAAGCTATCTAGTCCCCAACTAAAGCCTTTAGCCTTCCCTCCTTAGAGGTGCTCTCAGTTCAGCCTCAGAAAGCTTTATGAGCGTTGGCAGAATATTAACAAAAGCCATCAATTTGCCACCACCACCTGCCTTGTAGCTCTGATTGCTCTCATCCAGCCTTCTGAGGCTCTCAGCATTGCGGCTGCCTACTGCAGTCTGCCCACAGGGGCCCAGATAGTCCAAGGGGAAAACAAAAACCATGTATTTTTTCTCAAGAACAAGTGGATGGTTGGTAGAAGAAGAGATAATGTAAAGACTGGAGAAGGAAAATAGCACACAGCAAGACCCCAGTTACAGTCAGTGCTCACTTGGGTTGTGCATGATGCTGATATCCAGGTCCCAGCTGGGATCCTGCTCTCATCTCCACAGCCACGGAACACTGAGAGGAAAATGACAAGACAAAAAAGATCAGCTCCTCTCAATAGTCTATAAAATACAGTTGTTTAGCAGGCCCTACCTAGGTGAAATGCAATATTGTATTCTAGTACAGCAGACACTTATATTAAAACAGCAGTCACTCATAGTTTCTTTCTGGCACAGGCGACAAATGTCGTGAACCAGAAGGGTCTTTAGAGGTCATCTAAACTTACCTCATTTTAGATAAGTTCGTGAAGAGAGCTGGTGGCTAAGGCCATAGCTTAGGCCTTCTGACCCCTACCTTTCCATGTGCTTTCCAAGAGCTTGACAGGAATAACAGTTGCAAGGGGATTCCTGGTGAAGTGGATTCTTGTTATTCTAAAAATAGGCCTACATGGTAGACTGGCAATGTGAAATTATACCTCAGCATTTTCAAAGAGCATTAAAAATCTAGAGCTGTGGGGATTAAAACATGACAAGCCTAATTTTGTTAAGCAGACAAATATTTAATTTTTCCCCTACCCTTGTTTCTACATCGGTCCATTCAGACTCTGCACCATCTGGTTGGGCAGGTGCTACTGTGGAAGATCTTCGTTTCCGACTACTGAAAAAGGGGAAACATGATGCAACAATTATTTTTGCATCTAAGAAGAGGGAAAATATTAGAAGTAGGGAAATACTATCTACATCCCTTTGGAGAATTAATGATAATTTCACAGGCGATTCTCTTCCTCAGAAATGAGCAGCTAAGAAAATGACCAACTTTTACATAGAGATTTTTGATGGTTACTTACCCATTTGGTGATTCTTGCTTTAAAGTCTCAATATCAGTAAACTGAACAGATTGTCCACCGCCCCTTGTTTTATAAACATCACCCTAAAGCCAAAAGAGAAGGTCACTGTTACACATTGATACATCCAAATGAAAAGCACATACATATTTCAAATTGTTCTCACAATTCTATTTTATAGAATTCCCATCCACAAAATCAGATGGTACTTGGTACTTGCTGAGTCTATCAAAATAATTTAGAAATTTGAGTACATATCTCTCACAAACAAAAGAAGTCCAATACAATGTAATCAGTAACATTTGTAATTGCAGAAAAAAATATTCCTTTTGCTCTACCTGCAATTTAAAAACTAAACTTGCACTAAGGATCAAGAAGTTTGCTGGAAATTTCTACATGTTCTAAGGCATTGTATTTTCTTCTCTCAGTGCCCCCTGCTGCCCATATTCAAATGACAGTATAGTCTTATTTGTAGCTAGTTATAATAAGAACTAAAACTCTAAATTGAACTTGAAATTAAAAGCTTTTTGGGGGGTTCTTATCTTTTACTTTCCTGATTACTCACTGACTCTATGATCAAAGGAGAATTGTTCTATAGGCAGGCAAGTAGCTTCTTTTTGGGAAATGGCTTTAGGTAGATCAATACTGAGTGATTTTGATAGGTCAAATTTTAACACAGGTTTTTTTTTTTTTTAAATCTTGAACTGACGGAGAGCAATGGGAGTTCTTTGCTTAGATTTACTTTTAAAGTAGTGGTTAAAACTAAATATCTAGTCACTAAAAAATTAAAGTACATCATGGATCTAGAATTCTGAGAAACTGAAGAATCTACCCCATTGAAAGCATACTTAATCCCAGTTTGGTGGACTTAAAACCTAAGCAGTGACTAACTTTCTGCTAACAAAAAAGTTATATCAGATACCCATTGATGTTCCAGTTGACAATGCCTGTGTGTCACCAAAGGAGTAGGAGAACTAGTGGACTTTTGTTGAGTTTTTTAATATATTTTTTCTGTGTAAATTCGTTTTTTACCTTAATTAGTTTAGTTTCAATCTCCCCATCGGAGGCTAGTTCCTGGTGGGTCAGCATGTACTTCTCACACTTAGCTAGTGCCTTTTCATTTGCAACAGATACTGTGATGGCATGAGGGACATGTGGCTGCATGACTGTTTCAGTTTGCATGTTAGAGGCGGGCTTATGATCTACCCATCTGTCTCCTGCAGAGCGTGATCGTCTGTGTCGGAGACGAATTGGTGGTGCATTCTGATCAGGTTGAAAGAGGAATTGAGAAACAAGCATAACCCAGAATTAATTTAAGGGTATTATTAGAAGTGCAGCAGGTTTGGCTACATTAATTGATGACACTATCAAAACAAACCTTTCAAAAGCTAAATATGTTATTCAGGTAATTTAAACATTATCTTTGCATTTAAACACAAAACCAACCAATGTCTTTAACACAAACTTGTATGTTATATATTCTACCTGGAAGTTTACCTTTCAACAAAGGATAAAAGAAAAAATTCTAGTAATGCTGCAAGTCTTTCCTGCTTGGGGGTGGTTCAGGACAAATAATTCATTTCGTATTCCTGATCAAAAACCAATATTTATCCCTGCTATTGAGAGGTAAGCTATTATGTCCACAACTCTGTTAAAATCTTCAATAAGATCAATGAAAGCCCTACACATTTTCTAGGCTTCTAAACAAAAGAGAAAACAATCCAAAGAACATAAGGTATAATAAGAACTGTATGAATAAAATGATAAAAAGAAATGTAAAATACTTCTGAATGCTTTAAGATCTTAAAATTTCATAATAGAACTTCATGAAAAGTTCAATAATGGCTATAATATACCACTAATTTTCCCCCCAAATATTTCATACAGGTTCAAGAAAAAAACAAATAGTTTCAAATCAGTCTCTATCAAACAATAAAAAACTAGTTGCTGGGCCAGGCATGGTGGCACATGCCTGTAATCTCAGCACTTTGGAAGGCTGAGGTAGAGGGATCACTTGAACTCAGAAGTTCAAGGCCAGCCTAGAAAACATGGTGAAACCCAGTCTCTATAAAAAAAAAAAAATATATTAGCTGGGCTTGGTGACACGTGCCTGTAGTCCCACCTACTCAGGAGGCTGAGGTGAGAGGATCGCTTGAGAGGTGGAGATTGCAGTGAGCCAAGATCACACCACTGCACTCCAGCCTGGACAACAGACCCTGTCTCAAAAACAAACAAGCTGCTTCTAGTCAAATCTCATGTAAATCTGGGAAAATTAAATTAAGCACGTTCGGCCTAAGAAAATAACATTTCATATAAATGCCATAGTTATAGTTTAAAGCAAATGAATTATCTTTGGTATTTTATGAACATCTCCAGTTTGTAAAACTAATAGCATGGCTGGTTGCAGTGGCTCACACCTATAATTCCAACATTTGTGAGGCTGAGGTGGAAGGAAGATCACTTGATGCCAAGAGCTCAAGACCAGCTTAGGCAATGCAGCAAGACTCTATCTCTACAAAAAATATGAAAATTAGCCAGGTGTGATAGCACATACCTGTGGTCCAGCTACTCAGGAGGCTAAGGTAGAAGGATCACTTAAGCCTGGAAGGTCAAGGCTGCAGTGAGCCTAGATGATGCCACTGCACTCCAGCCTGGGCAACAGATCAAGACCCCATCTCAAAAAAAAAAAAAAAAAATCCAAAAAACAAAACTGAAAGCAAATGGAAAATTCTTCAACACTGGTCAAGTATGAAGACTTCAATTTCAAAATGCCCATCTGAGGGCCAGGCGTGGTGGCTCATGCCTGTAATCCCAGCACTTTGGGAGGTCGAGGCGGGTGGATCACAAGGTCAAGAGATCGAGACCATCCTGGTCAACATGGTGAAACCCTGTCTCTGCTAAAAATACAAAAAATTAGCTGGGCATGGTGGCACATGCCTGTAATCCCAGCTACTCAGGAGGCTGAGGCAGGAGAATTGCCTGAACCCAGGAGGCGGAGGTTGCGGTGAGCCGAGATTGCGCCATTGCACTCCAGTCTGGGTAACAAGAGCAAAATTCCGTCTCCAAAACAAAACAAAACACAACAAAGTGCCCATCTGAGTAACTGAATCATTTTCCCTATATAGTTACAAGAAACAAATACAGCACTGGTGACAGCTCTAAGACATAGGCAACACAGTTTACCACTAAAGATGCTGAGCCTCAAGACAAACAGAAAACATTCCATTCCTAAAAGGATTTATTTAATGTTGAACACAAAAGAAAGTCTGCTCATTATCATCTACCATTCAGCAAAAGCAAGGGTTTTCTTCAAACATTTAACAATAAACATACAATGAAACAAGCTTCAGAAAGATGATAATCCAATCATTCAGCATTTATGAAATATTTAAATTTTTTTCTCATTGAAGTATAAATTCAGTCCACTTGACATAATTTTTGACCAACAAACTTAGACACACAGATACTAACCTTATAGTAACTTTTCTGCTGCACTTCTAAAGAGGTTTTGATTTCACATAAGAAGAATCTCTAGTAAATCCCCTTAAATATCTCATAGCCAAATTAGATACCACATTACTGTTGGCAAGGCATAAGCAGGCCTTGAATAGCTTCCAGCCTATAAACTTTCATAAAATGGCTGACTAAAGTTGATCAGAATGACCATTTACCATAATTTGCTATCTAAAAATGTTTAAGAAAAAGTCTGCAAAGTAAGGAACTTAAGAGACTTTAGAATCATCTGTTTCCTTGGTAAATAACTTGGGATTCATCACCATTACTTAATAATCAGGAATTCAGGCCACCTAAGTGAACATTTATCTATACCCTGACTTAAACGTGAAAATCTAAAGTAAATGTTTACTGTAAGATTTATTTAGAAGAAAAATTCTAAAAGAGCTTTGTTAAGATTTTACTAAATATAAAATTCACAAACACTAACTTGGTCCATTATTCAGATTCAAGTGAAACTTTACCTTAATCTTTAAGAAGAAAAATGTGAAAGTGAATTTATTTAAATAACCTTGAATGAGGCAAACCAGTTACAAACTGCGATAAATACCTCAAGATTAAAAGCAATTTATTGGGCATGGAAATCAGTAGTTTTAAAATAACTGGCCTGGACTCTTCAATGAAAATAGTCAATGTCATAAAAATCAAAAAAGTAGGGGGATAGGGTGAGGCTATTTTATATTAAAAGAGATAAAAGAAATAATCATGATATGCAATGCATACACTTTCATAGTATCATGGACTGAGAAAAGAAAAGCTGCCTGGGTGCAGTGGCTTGCTTGTAATCTCAGCACCTTGGGAGGCCAAGACAGGATTGCTGGAACTCAAGAGTTCAATACCAGCCTAGGCAACATGATGAGACCTTGTCTCTACTAAAAATAACAAAGTAGGCTGGTGGCATGCCTGTAGTCTCAGCTACTCAGGAGGCTGAGGTAAGAGGATCACTTCAGCTCAGGAAGACTGAGGCTGCAGTGAACCATAATCATGCCACTGTACTCCACCCTGGATAACAGAGTAAGACCTGTCTCAAAAAAACAAAACAAAAAAACAAACAAACAAAAAAAGCAATAAGCTAGTTTTGGGACAACTGCATAACGTCCCAATACAGGATATTTATTTAATTAATGTTTATTTTCTTGGATGTGATAAAGATTGTCGCCAGGTAGTACAATGTCCTTATTCTTAAAGATTAAGTGTCTCTAAGTCTATGATTTACTTTTACAAAGCTTATTTATCCAAGTAACAATTGGTAAACTTAGGCAGGGAGGGAAAGACATTACCATATTATTCTTTCAACTTAGCTTTGGGTCTGAAATTTTTCAAAATAAAAATTTGGGAAAACAATTATTAAAACGAGGGCTCAAAAGGACGTACAAAAATCTAACTTGAGGAAGGGAAACCAAAAGAAAAATATGGAAAGTATGCTTTAAAACACATTCACCAATTTTGTGCAAAGCTTATTAGCTCATGCAGCTGAAAAGCGCCAAGTACTCTGGGATGCACCAAACTGACTTGTATTCACTGAACACACCTCCGTTGGCAGATGTGTTTAGGCTTCTTCAGATGAAGAGCCAGGCCTCAATTTCAGTGAGTCAATGTTTCAAATTAACTGAGAAATTAGACCTTCTTTATACTATAGCCCAACCATTTTTCCAATGAACTTTCAGAACCAAGTTACAAAAAACAAGATAAAGTCTATTGCTACAATGCGTTAAATTAATACTGGCACTAACCCTGCAGCAATGATCCTCTTCTATTTCTAGCTCATTTCTGAATGTAGGAACCACCTCCCTGCCTTCAGTCCAGTACATCCCTCGCCTTCTGTCTGACACGATACAAGTTTTGCTTTGTCCTGGCTCCTGCTGCCTACGCCTTGCAATAGATGTGTCTCTGAGAGGTGTGTTGTACGTAGGAATTTTCTGCTCCCATTCCGAGATACAGGAAGCTACAGAAATGCTGCTGCATGAGTTAGAGCGCCTATGTAGCTGTGGCTGGCTCATGAGTTGCTGGCCGTTGGAAATCTGAGCAATATAGTTACTAGAAAGCTAGAAAAATTGGAGAGAAATTAATAAGCAAGACTGAAAAACTAAGAGAAACATTTCATTACTTTTCTATAATTTTAGCACATAAAGACAATATTACAGATCATTATTTGTACTTGTTTTTTGTGCTAAACTAGTGTTTATTCTAAATTTTAAAAGTCTTGAAATTTCAGAAACATAATTATAAAATATAAAAATTCTCATAGAAATAGTCATCTAATCTGAATAAAATTTCTCTAGTACAAAGTGACTACACAATTACAAATAACTTACAGGGACAGGTGATGGAGAAACAGATCTTGGAGTAACTTTTTCTCGATCTCGCTCCCGAGAGGGTCTCTCCGGCTTCTCAATTTTAGGTTCAGTAACAATAGCCTTCAGTTGTTTCAGCTTTTCATCTTTGACCCAGAGTTTATTCTGCATCTCAAGCTGTTTGGCTGCCACTCTACGCTCCTACAGATCATCAATGGCAATATATATTATAATTCAATCACAGCAAAAGAGTACATCAGATTACCCAATCACTTTATTTCCTAAAAATGACAGTTCTCTAATTCTTCCTAAGAGTTAACAACCACCACCAAAACCCTACCACAAATACAGTAATTCAAAATATTGAACCTAACTACAATGTAAAATAAATCATCCAACTCTGAGACAACCACTACACGAATGACACTCACACATTCTTTCTCCCACTTAATTGTCGTTTCTGTCACCATGCCTTGCAACCTGGCCTCTAATCTGCGTTTGTCAGAAAACTGTCGCTGAAGTTTCTGGTTCTGAGTTTCAAGTTCCTGTTGCAAATTGCGTTTATCTTCTTCATAGATAGTAGTTGTTTTCTCTAAAATCTCAATCTAGGAAGGTAGATCATCATGTTCAGTATTGGATATGTAAACATTTCATGTCGCTATAAAATATTCTTAATTTGCTTATGCAAGCATATTTGTGGAAAGAAAAATCGTGGAGAAAACTTTTTTCTCTAACATTTCATCTGAATTCCCACCCCTATTCTCAGAAACGAGAACACATTAAACAAGCTCCTCACCCAAAGACAAGTTATAACTAGCCTTATGTGAAAATTACTTTCTCCTGAAATTAAGGCCTAAAAATTTTTTACGCTATTTTCAGAATTTAAAAAACCTATGTTGGTTAAGACTAATTTCTCTTTAGAATGCATGGGTGCCCTACCAAACCCCTAATTGATCCTCCGTAAACGAAAGAGCAAACATATATTACACAGTGCTGCAATGCTTCCCAACAAAACAGTATTTCCTTCTATCCCATGGCAAGATTCATCTTGAGTTTATACGTTTACAATCTGTTTTGTAAACCAAATACAGATCCAATTAAGCTTTACTGAGTAACTGTTACGTCCAAGGCATTATGCTGGCACTTTCATAGCATTTCATTTAATCATTTATCTCACAGGAAAAAAAAAAAAAAAAGCATACTAAGGAAATATTTCTAATAAATTGAAAAGCAAGCTATAACCAAAGCTAAGCTCTAGAAAGCTCCCTTGTTTAGGTCAGAGAACATCCTTTTCAACTGTTAAAACTTTCATAAAATTAACATGATTCTTTTCTTCATTTCACTCCCATTTCCTGTTTAGCACGGAATGAGGATTAGTAAATAACCAAGTGAGAACTTTTTTTACTTGTATTTTTGGAGACAGACTCTTGCTCTGTCACCCAGGCTGGAGTACAGTCATGAAATCTCAGCTCACTGCAGGCTCAACCTCCCAGGTTCAACCTATTCTCCCATCTCAGCCTTCCGAGAAGCTGGGACTACAGGCATGCACCACTGTGCATTACTAATTTTTTTTGTAGATACGGGGTTTCACAATATTGCCCAGTCTGGTCTGGAACTCCTGGGATCAAGTGATCTGCCTGCCTTGGCCTCCAAATGGGCTGAAACTATAGGCATGAACTACCTCTCTCTTTTTCTTTTTTCGAGATGGAGTCTCGCTCTTGTCACCCAGGCTGGAGTGCAGTGGCACAATCTTGGCTCACTGCAACCTCTGCCTCTCGGGTTCAAACGATTCTCCTCCCTCAGCCTCCCAAGTAGCTGGGATTACAGGTACCCTCCACCACCCGCACTGATTTTTGTATTTTAGTGGAGAGGAGTTTTCACCATGTTGGCCAGGCTGGTCTCAAACTCCTGACCTAAGGTGATCCGCCGGCCTCAGCCTCCCAAAGTGCTGGGCTTACCACCGTGAGCCACCGCGCCTGGCCCAGAACTCGTAATAAGCAGCATTTACAGGCCGTTGGAGCACAACAGATCCCTTAGAGACCAGTGTTAAAACATCACCACATACATCTATCATAACATCAAAACACACCTTATATTCTAAAGTTTTGTTTTTCTTTTCCAGTCGTTCTATTTCCAATTTCTGTCCTGAGATCATCTTTTCCTTTTCATTTAGTTTCCCCTGCATGTAGTTTTCTTTACTTAAGACGGCATTGTCAAATTCTTGTAACAAAGCTTTAAAAGTATTAGCTGAAACAAAAACATACAAGCCAAGTTTCACTCTAGTTCTCAAACAATGAAGTCAACTTCTATTAGCAGACACTAAATAAAATGTAGTAATTCAGCAAATCTCCGTGAAAATCAGTCTATCATAAGAAAACAAGTTTAGAGGGAAATCAGGAGCTTAATTCTCAAATTGACAAGATATTCACAGAAGCTTTCTGTTAAATGCTGAAAAAATACTCAAGTCTTTCATTGTGCACTATAGCATTCTCTTCCCAATCCTTACAGGTACTCTGCTTCACAATAACAAATGCAAAAGTAGAAATAACACTACATTTGAGGTTAGTTAAACCTGAGTTGAAATCCCTTGTACATCACTTACTAGTTATGACTTAGGCAAGTTAATTAGTATTTTTGAGCAAATTTCATTTTAGTATGGAAATTTAAATACCATTTTATCTCACAACTTTGTGGTAAAGATTAAAACAAATAATGATGACAAAAATAGCAGATACAATCATTCACTGAGATACATTCACCATGTACCAGAGTTTACTGTTCTACAGGATTTTCATGCATTATCTCATTTATCTTCACAACATATCCTGAGGTAGAAACAATTACAATCCCCATTATGTAGACAGGGGAAACTAAAAAATATTTTTTTATGTTTCCATCACTGTTGGTAAAAAAAACAACAACAAAAAACACACGATCACCTTTTTCTTTTTGACTTTCTTAGAATACAAAAACTATGGAAAAACTCCTTGTCCTTCTAATCAATGCCTTGAGTGCTTAAAAGTTATAAAGACATGATTTTCTTTAACTTCCTTAAAGATGCAATCTACCTCAGAATCATTGAAAATATTTTCAATGCTGGAAGTTAAAATTATTGCAAATTGGCCGAGCATGGTGGCTCATGGCTGTAATCCCAGCACTTTGGGAGGCTGAAGCAGGCGGATCACTTGAGGTCAGGAGTTTGAGTCCAGTATGGCCAGCATGGCGAAACCCCGTCTCCACTAACAGTACAAAAATAAGCTGGGCGTAGTGGTGTGTGCCTGTAGTCCCAGCTACTCAGAAGCATGGGACAGGAGAATTGCTTGAACCAGGAGGCAGAGGTTGCAGGGGACCAAGATCACGCCACTTCACTCCAGCTTGGAGGACAGAGTGAAACTGCCTCAAAATTATTGCAAATAGTTTTGCCCTTACATTGTTTGTTAAACTCATCAATCATCATTTGTCGTAGGTGATGTCGTTTCTCTAAGGCTTCAATCAGCCTTGGAAGTGTCTGCTCATCGTTGATATCCAAAATTTCGCATGATGGCAAAGGTGGAAAACTCTGCAAAACCACGTCGGTAACCAATGGTTCTGTATTGAGTTACAGAAAATTATAAAGAGTTACAAAGGAGAGAAATAACTTATTTAAACAAGTTTAACACTCAATACAGCCCCAGTCCAACTAACCAGGCAATTTCTTTAGTTGACATAAGTTTACTTCCCTAAAAATGAAAGAATCATAGTATGCAAAATAAGCTCATTTAAATTTTGTTATTATGCACTTGGTTCTTGAGAAGATATGTAAACATTTCTTGTATGAAATAATTTAAAAAAAAAAGAGAGAGAGAGACAGACCAATAGTGGACAAATGATACATCACCAAATCATACCATCTCCAACTGGACCTCGAGGCTGGTTCCTATATCGCCTCCCAGGAGTTAAACCACATATGACCTTGTCTATAGGTCTTGCTACTTCAACTTCTTGAGTCACTTCCGCAAATCGCATGACTTGCTAAAACACAAAACAAATGGAGTTTAAAAACAAGATATTCAAGTCCCAGAAATTACTACATGAAGCAAAGATTGCTTATTTTTATTTATTTGAGACACAGTCTCACTGTCACCAGGCTGGAGTGCAGTGGCATGAACATGACTCACTGCAACTTCGACCTCCCAGGCAGGCTCAACTGATCGTCCCACCTCAGCCTCCCAATGTGTTGGGATTACAAGCATGAGCCACCACACCAAGTCTAGTTTCCTTCTACCATAAAGGGTTCTCTATCAATTTATAAAATATTCAAAATGTCTTTCTTCTCATCCAAATAACCGTTTTCCCTACAAAAACTCAAGACGTCATAGGACAAATAAAATTACCAAGCTTTCTTCATAATCTTCAGCCTTTGGATTCACACACACAATCATACGCACTTTTCCTTCCCCATCAAAGTAGTTCTTGAACAGATGGGTTAACTTTGAATCTCGATATGGAACCATCTACAAAGACATTCAAATCCAAATGTATTAAACAAAAACGCACACAAATGAAACTATACAAAAGATGAGAGAAGGCTGTTGCTTACCTTGTTAGTCCCATACATTTGGTTCTCTCTCAGGACGTCCATACATGTTCTTAGCGTCATTAGTGACTGATTAATATTACCTGACAGAAAAATATAATTTGAGAACAACAATATAGTAGCTAAATTGTGTTCTGTTTGCCTATAAAATCTCAACTTCATACAAACGTTAGATAGAAATGACAACAGTTTTTGTGGCTCAATATAAAGAGCTGTCTATGCATGGTCCAGACTCTTTTTTGATAGCAGTATTTCTGGGAAAGTTAAACAGCAATCCTTCCAGCATTCGATCAACAGGATTTTCCACAAAATGCAACATTACAATTAATGACCATAAGGTTTCTTCCAAATCCTAAATTCTGTGAAGGAATATCTTAGATACAGATGTTTAATATCCTCATATTAAAATACATTCTCTAGGCAATTGATGGGAATCATGGCAACCCCAGACCACTGTACTGCTCCTGGGAGTGGGGAAAGAACATCGTCCACCTGGGGAGTAACTATGAAGACCATGCCAGGGAGACACCAGCATGGCGCTGAGCGAGCCCGTGCTGTTTCTGAAGCTGTCCACGGCCTACCCACCCGAGAACTCGCACATCCTCATGCCCGTATACTGCCACAAGGCTCACCGCAAGCTGGAGCTGGGCGTGGTGATGGGCAAGCATGGCCACACAGTCCCCAAGGCCGCAGCCATGGACTGTGCCAGGACATGACCGCCCAGGACGTGCAGGATGAGTGCAGGAAGAAGGGTCTGCCCTGGACTCTAGCCAAGAGCTTTATGGCCTCCGGGCCAGTCAGCAGATTTGTGCCCAAGGAGAAGATCTCTGACCCTCACAACCTGAGGCTCTGGCTCAAGGTCAATGGCGAACTCAAGACAGGAGGGTGAGACATCCTCCATGATTGTTCCCATCCTCTACATCATCAGCTATGTTTCTAAGATCATGACGTTGGAAGAAGGAGATATTATTTTGACCGGGACGCCAAAGGGAATTGGACTGGTTAAAGAAAACGATGAGACCCAGGCTGGCATACCTGGCGTGGTCGGTATGAGATTTAGGATGAAAAGGCCAGAATATTGAGTAATTTCTTAACAAATTTCAGGGAGAAGTGAGCAAGACAAAAGCAAATAACAGCTATTAAATGTCACAATCCTTTAATAAGAAACCAATTATTCAAAAAATGATTAGATTGCTATGGCTCAACTCATAGAAGATGGATTCTTTAATAAAACATGAACTAGAATGGACAGGCCAGAAATGTAAAAAGTCAACGTAAAGTATTTCTGGTGCTTTGGAAAAGATTTTATCAAACCGAATGTTCAAAAGAGTTTCCTTTGGTAAACCTGGATTGGAGAAGACTTTTCAGTGGGTTATCTCTAAGATAATCAGTAGTTCAAGACTTAAAACCTGCAGAGAAAACTGAAAGTTATGTTCCAGATCAGTGTTTCCCCAATTTCCTTGGACTTGGTCATCGTCAGGAAGCATTTGTCAAAATAAAAATTTCCAAATTACTGGCCCATTTCGGAGCCACTCAATTTGATGGGATAAATCTCCAGTGAAGCTGTGTTTACAGAGCATTCCAAATGATTCTTTATCAAGGAAATGTGGAAAAACACTGCTATACATAATCAGTTAATTTAAAATTTTACTGAATAAGTGAACAGTTAATGAAGATTTCACCTGTTTACTTAAGAGTGTCTATCCTGACCCAGCGATTCTGAGTTCAGGAGATCATTTTGAAATT